CCAGATCTCCTCTAGCAAACATTAATAGATCATCTGCAAAACATAGATGAGTAATATCAAGTTTAGAGCACCTAGGGTGATACTTGAACTGCTTATCTTCTTTAAGCCCCTTAATAATCCTACTAAGATACTCCATAGCTATAGCAAACAAGAAGGGAGACATTGGATCTCCTTGCCTCAATCCTTTAGCTGCATCAAAACTCTGTGAAGTCTGTCCATTAACTAGTATGGAGTAGTTCATTGCTTTAACACATTTCATTATCCATTGCACAAACATCTCTGGGAAGCCTAACCCAAACATTACTTTCTCCAAATAGTCCCATTCCACTGAATCATAAGCTTTCTGCAGATCAATCTTCAGCATGCTTCTAGGAGAAATATGCTTTTTAGTATAAGGTTTAACCAATTCATGAGCAAGCACTATATTATCAGCAATTTTCCTTCCTAGGATAAACCCTGCTTGGCTTTCACAAATAACACTCTAAATCACCCCATGCAATCTGTTGGTTAACACTTTGGAAATAATCTTATACATCACATTACAACAAGCTATAGGCCTATACTCTTTCACAGTTTTAGGATTCTGAACTTTTGGTATGAGAGACACTAGAGTACAATTGAAGTCTTTATGAAGATTTCCAGTTGTGTAGAAACTCTTAACAGCTTCAGTGACATCCCCTTTAATAATCTGCCAAGTATGCTTAAAAAGGAAAGCATTGTATCCATCTATCCCTGGTGCTTTATCATTACCTATGGATTTCAAGCCTTCATAGATCTCTTGATCAGCTACTGCAGTATACAATTGTAATCTTTGTTGTTTTGTCAATGTAGGCCCTCTTTTCATCACTTGTGCATTAATGGCTGGCAACTTACCTGCTGAAGATCCCATAAGACTCTTATAGAACATCACAAACTCCTCTTGGATTCCCAGTGGATCATAAAGCATCTTGCCATTTAAGGACATAATACTTCTTATTTGTTTTTTTTAGTTCTCTCTTTAATGACTGAACTGAAATACTTGTTATTTGCATCCCCTAATTGTATCCATTTGATCCTTGATTTCTGTCTCAGAGCACTTTCTTCTATCAATGACCATTTTTCAAGCTTAATCAACAACTCTTTCTCCTTCACAATAAACTCATCAGTAACTTGCTCATTTAGCTGGATTTGAACATTTGCAACCTCTATTCTAGCCATATCAATCTGTTTCCCAATACACTTGAATTCTTTCCTGTTTAACTGTTTTAGCACATGCTGAAGATCCTTCAATTTACACCACACCTGCTTCATTTTGTTATAACCATACTCTTTTTTCCAGATAGTTTCTACTATTTCCATAAAACTCTCATGCTCAGTCCAAACATTGAAGAATTTAAAGCTACCTTTCCCATGTTGCTAATTTTTTTGAAGAATTAACATCATAGAGTTATGATCTGATATGCTAGGAGTCCCATAATCTACATTTACATGCCCCCATTTATCCATCCAGTCATCATTTCCAAATGCTCTATCTATTCTACTGGAAATTCTACCATTCCCACATTGTTTGTTAGTCCAAGTGTAGTAATTCCTTGTCCACTGCAATTCATTAACCCCCATGTCTCTCACACACTCACCAAAATCTTTTATCTCATTAGTAGTAACAGGCACACCAGCTAATCTATCCTTAGTAGACAATATAACATTAAAATCCCCTACTATAAGCCAAGGTTGAGAGATACCTTTTGCCATTGATTCCATTTCATTCCATAAACTTTTTTTCTGTTCAACTGTATTAAAGCCATACACTACAGTTAAAATAAACTGGTAGCCTTTACTTCTTTCATTTACCTGACAATGCAACATTTGAGCTGAGCTATTAATCTTCTTGACCTCATACCAGTTATCATCCCATTTCAACCAAATCCTTCCATTAGGACTATCAACATAGTTATATAGAACCTGCCACCCTGGTGCTATTCCTTTAAGAACTGAGTTCACATTTTTACTTTTAACTCCTGTTTCCACTAATCCAGCCAAACTCACTTTATTTTGTAAAAGCAGTTTAATCTCCTTCTGGTTATACCTTTTATTCATACCCCTCACATTCCAAAAGAGACACTTCATCAACAAGTCTTTGGTTCTCCACCTTTATCAATAGATAGTGAAGCCATTTTATTATGCATAAGACTCTCAAATCCATTCCTTGTTGGTATTGGTTTCAGTATAGGAAGGTTAGCCAAGCACAGTTCCAGCTGTCTATAATCTTGTACTTCATTATTTTTTGGTATTTGCTGCTCTAACTCCTTTTCTATCACCTGTTCTTATTCCTGCTCTTCCTTCTGCTTATTCTAGTTTGGAATGAGAATGTTCTCTTGTCTATGTTCACCCCTCTTCTCTTGTCATTCTTCTATGAGATTGGCCCTTTATATTGCAATGTTTGAGTTACTTTCTTCCATGGCTTTCTTTTCTTTATTGCCTCCTCTTTTGAATCAGCCTCCACTTGACATACATGTCCTAG